CCTTGGGGAATGAATCTTGGGGAGAAGGCAAACAGGAACAATAAAACCAAATGCCAATTACTTTAAAAATGGATTTTATGACCTATATTATATTGACAAGTAACAACAGTAATCCTGGGCTGGTGAGATGGCTCAGTGGTCTAAAGCACGTACTTAAAACAAGCTTAGGAAAGCACAGGGACCACAGTTCAATCCCCCAGCACCACATGCCAGCCAGCCCCGCCCCCTGGTGGGCTGAGCTGGCCACACACACACACACACACACACACATAAATAAATAAAAATTAAAAAAAAAAACAAACAGTAATCCTGAAAGCTTCTTACATTAAATTTCTGGCAAAATATCCTTTTATAATATAGTATATGCTTCCCAGGTGTAGGGTAGTAAAGGACATGAGGCCAGAATGATCCTGGCCAAGGCTAATTCTTCTAATTGTGTATTAGCAAGAAAGGTAGAAATCAGTATTGAGTTATATATCACTAGAATATTTAATACTGATAGAAAAAAAGAGCATACATGAGGTGGAGAAGAGGAGGAAGAGGTTACTCCTGGGCTGAGGGCAAAGCATGGGCGTGCATAAGGGACCAGGCCAGAATCCCCAGCAGCTCTATGCTATGTAGGCCATGGGACCACAAAGTTATTGACAAGACCTAGGTTAGAGGTTTGTGAGAGGCATGGCCTAGGTACCACCTTGGACAGGGGTGACAGGAAGGCATTACTGGGCACCTGAGAGGGTTACGTAAACTGTAGGATCAGAGGCATGGGCTTCTTTACCATATGTACCTTCTTCTGTCCACTCCCTAATTGAGCCTACTGCCATCCAGATCTAGGGGTCACCACAGCAAGGCCAAGATGGCCGTGAAGCAGGAACTAGGGCCCAAGTAGTTCTGATGGGGGATGTGTCCTGGACCGGTAGGGAAAATACTGACAAAAGGTGTGAACACTTATTTTGGCAAGAGCTTTTTATTTTATTTATTTATTTATTTATTTATTTATTTATTTATTTGGTGGAACCGGGGATTGAACTCAGGCCCCTGTGCTTGCCAGGCAAGCACTTATTCCACTGAGCCATCTCCACAACCAGACTGTTTTGGAGCAGGTGTTACCACTGATCCCTTGGGACTGTACATAGGTCTTGTCATTTCATTTTCACACACTGAGGTCTGGCCTCCAACAGCTGCCCCTCTGGCCACGGTTATGACGTGTTCTCTCCAGGCCCCACACTGACTTCTCCAAGGGCCTAGCCCTGCCTGCCTGACTGCCCATAATGTTTCTACCTAGCTTAGCTGTCACTCGTACTTTCCGCTCTCTCTGTAAACAGCTGTTGTTTAGTGACACCTTCCCACTTTTGGGAAGGGAGGAGAACTGGGTATTGGATCCAGCCAGGGCCCTCACCCTGAGTTACATGCCAGCCTCTTTTAAAACTGAAGCGGTCTTGCTAAATCACTGAATTGCCCAGGTTGGGCTCAAACTGTTGATTCCTTCCCCTCAGACTCCCAGGGAGATGAGATTACAGACAATGTTTCACAATGCCCAGCTTTTCCACATTTTTACTGACTTTTTTTTAATTGGAATGGTTCTCTAGCACGGCTCCAGGAAGGGCTTGCTGCTTGATACGCATAGAAGCCAGTGCTGCAAGCGTCTCTGCGAAACAGAAGAGCTTTCTGTGCGGCTGAGCCAGCAAAGAGGCCAGGTGCTAAAAATTCAAAATCTGCCTCCCTAATTAACTTGGCAGTGGAGGAATTAGCAGGAAGGGAAAGAGGAGAAGCTGTCTGTTGGATGCACGACAAGAAGCGTATATATATTTGAGAGGGGCTGGTCATGTTCTGAACAGGGCACGCCATGCGCCATGATGACAAGCTGGCTTTTTCTGTTCAAGTGCATTCTTGAAAAGCCAGTTCCAAATCCTTAGCAGTGCTAGTAAAAGGCCTACAGGCTTTTCTTAGAAGGCAAGTGAAGGGATGAAGGGACGTCTCTCTGGTACATGGAGGCCCTTGCTGATTTCACAATTCGTGTTCCTAATTCAAATGATGTAATCAACACAGAAAAATATGTGCAGATAAGCTTTGTTTAGTTATGGGTTGTAGTGCAGTTGGCCCTGAGTTCAATGTTAATGAATTAATAATAAAATAAATCTTTAAACAGCAACACACATACAAATTATGTATTTTTTATAGGCAACTAAGTTTGATAAAATATTATAGGCTCAGACAGCGCTAGGCCTGCAAAGGAGCCAGTGCAGAAGAGGGCCTACCTTGCAACCGTGGGAGAGACAGGCGAGGCACCTCCGCTGTGGGCCAGACCTCAAGACAAAGCTAAAGCAAACGCTCCCACATACTTCTTAGGAATACACATTGGGGGTTGTATTCTAAATAAGTATTATCACCTTGAGAAAGCTAAAAGGAGCCGCTAACTCAGTCTCCTACAGGAAAAGCCCCTTTTCTGTATTCATACCCACTAAGTGACTTACTTCCTTATTTGATCCTGATTTAATCAATTTTACCTGAGCAATTATATTCATAGTCTTACTGGTTGACCGTAGTTTTTTCCCACCTTATGCCCACCTCGTGATTCCTAATTTTTCATACCTCGGGCTCAACTTACCTCACGGATTTACTCTATAAAAAGCCCTAGAAAAGGCAAGGTCTTAGGCAACCCACTCTGGACCCCTTCTGTCTCTCTCTCAGACAGAAGCTTTCTTTCCCCCAATAAATACAGTCTGCTTTTAACCTCCACTGTTTCTAAAATTTATTCTTTGACTTTAAAGAACACAAACTTATACCAGACATCTAGCAGGTTGGGAGTTTTTTTCCCCTATAAAGTATTGTTTTTTTGTTTTGTTTTTGTTTTTGCAGTATCCCAGGGATTAAACTCAGGACCTTGTGCTTGCCAGGCAAGCACTTATTCTACTGAGCTATCTCCCCAGCCCTTCCCCTATACAGTATTGATTGGTTCATCTTGATACAGAGGCCTTTAGGAACATAGCCCTGTATTTCCCTTCTGGTTATGTGGTCTTTAATTCAGTGTCCCCAGTAACTTGACAGTGTTGCAGGCAGCCGAATTAGAGAGAAACATTACAGGCAGTCAGACAGGGCCAGGCCCTCAAAGGAGATAACAAAGAAGACAAGATACCTTACAACCCTGAGAGAGACAGATGCTCCTGCTGTGAGACAGACCTAAAGACCAAAGATCAGACAAATGCTGACCTCCCTAAAGATTAGCGTCCCGGATTGATCTTCACCCTGAGGAAGCCCGGAAGAATCATTAATCCAACTACTATCAGCTAGTTACTGGAAAAAGTCCTGCTCTATATTCATGCCCGCTTGCTTCATAACTCGCTGGCTTCCCCATCTGGTCCTAGACTTAATTTTACCTGAGCAATGGTGCTTGTAATCTCATTGATTGACCATAGTTTTGTCCCTCTTCATGCCCACCTAAGCGAGTTCCCATATTCTCCACCTTAGACCCGCTATGTTTGTTTTGTTTTTTACACTATAAAAGTCCCTGGAAGAGACAGCTTCTGGGGGGATCACCCGCTCGGAGGGGGTAGGGGCTCCTGTCCCTCTCTGGGACAAAAGCTTTCTTTCTTCCAATAAATATATTCTGCTTATAACCTCCGTTTGTTCCTAAAATCCATTCTTCAGTTTCGGAGAACACAAACTCGTCCCAGGTGCCTTTCACTAAGGAGATCATTTTCCCCCTGTATCACTGAGAATGATGAGAACAACTATACACGGAGGGAAAAGTATTTTTCAAAATCAACACAAGGAAATTCACTAGTTTTCTAGAAACTTACAATCCTCCACCAAATAGCCCAGAAAGCAGTGACCCTGCCTGCCCTCTCCACTTCACTCTCCCTCAGTTTTTCTCTCTTCCTTTCAATAATATTTTCCAAGAATCTATAGTGTTTTTTTTGTTTTTTGTGGGGTTTTTTTTGGTGGAACTGGGGATTGAACTCCGGCCCTTGTGCTTGCCAGGCAAGTGCTTATTCTACTGAGCCATCTCCCTGGCCCCGAATCTATAGTTTTAACTACATCTGATAGTGATGAATCTTCAACAAACTGTGGATGCATTTTCGCAAAACCTGTGGGACACGGTTCCATGGGGACCCCGGGAAGGATATTTTCTCAACTTGGGCATCTACCCTTTGAATCTACCCATTACATTATAAACAGAAGGTAAATTTACATGCATTATATACAATATATAAAATATACATCTTAGCTCCCATTATATTATAGAATGAGGTAAAGTGACATATGAATCTATTATCTATATCTATACTCTTATCTCGCATACACGAACCTGCCCATAGTTCTTAATAAAGCTGCCAGACTTTCATTTCTTCCTGTGACTTTAAGACGGAAGTCGGGAATCTTGCCCTATTCAGAAATGGCCGCCCGGCTTCACACACTGTGCGCATGCTCCGAACGCACACTGGCGTGACGTTCTGAGGCTCTGGGTGGAAAAGATGGCGGCGGAACTGCAGCTCCCAGCATCCCTTGCAGTCGTGCCGGGAGCCCGGAGTCTAAGGATGGGGACTCTGGGGAACCTCGGGCCGGCGAGCGCGCTGTAGAGGCTGTGGCGGAGCCCGTCCCCGGGAGCTGGACGCCGCGGAGGCGAAGATGGAAGCGTGGCGCTGTGTGAGGAGGGGCTACGGCCGCTGTGTGGTTGGCAG